ACTTTACGAGGACCTCCTGATACTTTACGAGGACCTCCTGATACTTTACGAGGACCTCCTGGTACTTTACGAGGACCTCCTGATACTTTACGAGGACCTCCTGATACTTTACGAGGACCTCCTGATACTTTACGAAGACCTCCTGATACTTTACGAGGACCTCCTGATACTTTACGAGGACCTCCTGATACATTACGAGGACCTCCTGATACTTTACGAGGACCTCCTGATACATTACGAGGACCTCCTGATACTTTACGAGGACCTCCTGATACTTTACGAGGACCTCCTGATACTTTACGAGGACCTCCTGATACTTTACGAGGACCTCCTGATACTTTACGAGGACCTCCTGATACTTTACGAGGACCTCCTGATATTTTACGAGGACCTCCTGATACTTTACGAAAACCTCCTGATACTTTACGAGGACCTCCTGATACTTTACGAGGACCTCCTGATACTTTACGAGGATCTCCTGATACTTTACGAGGACCTCCTGATACTTTACGAGGACCTCCTGATACTTTACGAGGACCTCCTGATACTTTACGAGGACCTCCTGATACTTTACGAGGATCTCCTGATACTGTACGAAGCCCACTAGAACTTAAAAACCATTCCTGATATTTTATAACCCTCCCTGATCCTTTATGACACTAACACTTATACTGCCTAATACTGACTGACATCTCTTGACTATGAAAAATCTCACTAATTGACACTTCCTGATACTTTTTGAAATATGAAAGCTTAATGATTTCTAATCTTTTCGATCACACATACACACACACACACACACACACACACACACACACACACACACACACACACACACACACATACACACACACACACACACACACACACACACACACACACACACGTCACTCACCATTCCACCCAGTTCCTCTCCACCGTCCTCCCCTCCCAAGCAACCAGTGGTGGAACAACAGTGGTGGAACAACAGTGGTGGAACAACCAGTGGTGGAACAACAGTGGTGGAACAATCAGTGGTGGAACAACAGTGGTGGAACAACAGTGGTGGAACAACCAGTGGTGGAACAACAGTGGTGGAACAATCAGTGGTGGAACAACAGTGGTGGAACAACCAGTAGTGGAACAACAGTGGCGGAACAACCAGGGGTGGAACAATCAGTGGTGGAACAACAGTGGTGGAACAACCAGTAGTGGAACAACCAGTGGTGGAACAACCAGTGGTGGAACAACAGTGGTGGAATAACCAGTAATGGAACAACCAGTGGTGGAACAACAGTGGTGGAACAACCAGTAATGGAACAACCAGTGGTGGAACAACCAGTCAGGAACGCAAGAACACCCAGCCACTAAATATCCCGGATGAGATAATTAACTACTTTTAAATGTACACAAAAAATGCCTCATATCTTAGGAGGCTGGAGAGGTATGATGCTTAAAATATTGTGTTGTGAAGGACGCAGAAGGGATCGCTAATGAGAGAGTGTGTGTATACCTCATGTGTGTGTATGTTTCCCGTGTATGCCTCATGTGTGTGTGTGTGTGTGTGTGTGTGTGTGTGTGTGTGTGTGTGTCCTGTGTATGCCTCCCATGTATGCCCGACTTGTTTGTTTGGCGTTATCTTGAGATGATTTCGGGGCTTAGCATCCCCGCGGCCCGGTCCTCGACCAGGTATCCTTTTTGTTACATTCCCCCAGGAATCAGCCCGTAGCAGCTGGCTAACTCCCAAGTACCAATTTACTGCTACATGAACAGGTGCATCAGTGTGAAAGAAACTCTACCCATATGTGTCCACCTCCACCGGGGATTGTACCCGGAAACTCAGCACTACGAATCCCGAGCGCTGTCCATTCAGCCGTCAGGCTGCCATTCAATCACTCGTATGCATACAATTCCTTATCGCTCGTGTGCCTTGCATATTTGCCTCCGCGTGCATGATTCAGTCATATGCCTCATTTTGTGCTTGTGTCTCGAGAATATGTCTTGCATTTATTGATATACCTTTGTTTGTGTTGGTATATCTTGCGATGTACCTTGCCAGGCCCATCCTGTAGCATGCAGGCGAGGAGTCACAATAACGTGGCTGAAATATGTTGACCAAACCACACACTAGAAAGTGAAGAGACGACGACGTTTCTGTCCGTCCTGGACCATTCTCACAATCGAATTGAGAATGGTCCAGGACGGACCGAAACGTCGTCGTCCCTTCACTTTCTAGTGTGTGGTTTGGTCACCATCCTGTAGCATGTCAGCTGTGTTCCGCATCGTGCTGATGACCTCTTCCTTCATCCCATCCCTCGGCCCAAGCTCTAAGTCACACTCTAGGTCAGGAAAGTTTTAATAAATCACAATATGACTTCTACAGCAGACAACCCACTGACCGGATGAATCCTTCATGCCTTGTATTATGCCTGATGCCTTGTTTACTTTATATCAGTCGTGTTTAACGTGAAGAATGTGTATTTAGAAGAAGAGAAAACATTAAATTGTTCCCTCTTCAACCCAATATGTTATCTATACGGAATACGGAATACCATGCTTTGCTCACCATATATGTAAACCTGCAAAGTTGACCTTCTCCTCGTATCAAGTCTAGTTGCTTATATTTCATGGCAGTTGTTATGTATGCACGACTCATGTTTATGCATATCTGAGGGAGGTGAGGTATCTCAGGAGGTCGTATGAACCACTTGGGTCTCCCTTAGGCTCTAGAGGCTGTATAACTCAACAGGGCGTGCAAGTGGTTTCTCTGGAGGATGCCTGACCAGCCAAGTGGGCAAGTGAACTATGTAGAGAATAGGTGGTTAAAGTGGGTTATCTGAAGGTCAGGTGAGTCACTTGGAGGTCAGGCGGGTCATCTGGAGGTCAGGTGAGTCACTTGGAGGTCAGGCGGATCATCTGGAGGTCATGTGAGTCACTTGGAGCCCAGGCGGATCATCTGGAGGTCATGTGAGTCACTTGGAGGTCAGGCGGATCAGCTGTAGGTCATGTGAGTCACTTGGAGGTCAGGCGGATCACCTGGAGGTCAGGTAATTCTCATCGTAACAGGATGTGTAATGGACTCAATCAGTCTCAAGAGACTTGTATACAGATCCCCTTAAAGATAAAGGACTCCTCCTTGAAGAGTTTCCTAGAGCCCAAGAAAATGGAATCCACTTGAAGAGTTTCCTAGAGCCCAAGAAAATGGAATCCACTTGAAGAGTTTCCTAGAGCCCAGGAAAATGGAATCCACTTGAAGACTTAACGTGATGGATTAATAAGAAAATCAATTGGAGCCACACAGAGGATTCGAACCTACACCATGGGTTCTTCCAAGTGCACACCTTAAACGACTGAACCACGATACGCTATACGTAATTTATCCTGGGATTCCACTGAATCGACAAGAGGTCTTGAGGTACTGAGCTGATACCAGATTAAGTTTCTACCCATTTCTTCGTGTGTACTCTGATGTAGTCTGGTATAGAAGCTCTTCAACTAACGCTCGCTTAAATTATTACTTATATATTTATTTATTTATTCTGGTAAACGAGAACTTCAATAGTTAATCTTGTTTACTAATGCATTCTTCGTATTACCATATATAAGTCACGTTATTTAAAAATTCTCATTAATATCACACATATACAAAGACGCATTTCTTACATAATTAAATCCAATGAGTGATTGACCAAGATTCTTTTGAAACTATATGATTTCATATTTAATTGTTCATTACCAGCAAAATACTAAATCAGAAATAAATGCGAGCATTACCTACAGAACAAACTAATTGTGCATTGTGAAGTAAAAATAAAGTTAATGTCAATTATAAACTAACATTAAATATTACGAATTTAAATAAACTAACACGAGCGCCTTTCAGTTAAAACACACATACCAGTGTATGTTAATTGCGTATAAAGTTTCCTAGGGTAAATACAGCATACATCAAATATAGCCTAACATGAATATCAAACGTTACAAAATAATTATTTAATGCTTTCTATTTCAGGTTGGCTAATAATTGACCGTAATGAGATAATATTAATAATGTTGTGCAACACTTAGTGGGCCAGCCAGAGGCTTAGGGCCCGCGCAGGAATATCCCTAAAATAAAAAAAAATTTTTAGTGGTACGAATTAACCTCACGTACATTAGTTTTGTATTTGAATGTTTCGTTCCCTCTACTCCAGAGACGCTTCATAACCCAATGTTAATGTTGTATATTTAATAACATTCCAACTAATTTATAAAAGAAAAACACTTTACACATATTACTCAGAACTAACCCACCCTCAAACCCACATATACCTATTTAAAAATACTGTCTTTCCTAATGAAGAATAAATGTTTAAATTGGCTGTTTAAATGGGCTGTTTAAATACAATTAATTGTGAACGGAGCCAAAACGCTATCTTAAAAAAACATTAGTTATAAATATGGTAATATATATTTGAGATCATATGATTTTAACTACAGAAATTGCGTAAACAAATAACATTTACGCCTTTAGGGACAGGTACAGCATGGATGGGGAGTGAAGATGGAGAGACATAACCTGGAAGACAAGAATAATTCACCTTCAGGTTAAATTAACTTACCTGAAGGCTGCAATAAATTAAGTGCACGGAATTAATCACCTTGCTATCTGGATTACCTGAGGTCAATGTGACTCACCTGAGGTCACTGTGACTCACCTGAGGTCACTGTGGCTCATCTGAGGCCACTGTGACTCACCTGAGGTCACAGTAACTTACCTGAGGTCACTGTGACATACCTGAGGTCACTGTGACTCACTTGAGGTCACAGTAACTTACCTGAGGTCACTGTGACTCACCTGAGGTCACTGTGACTTACCTGAGGTCATTGTAACTTACCTGAGGTCGCAGTAACGCACCTGAGGTCACTGTGACTCACCTGGAGGGCTCGGTGATGGCCCAGGAGGCCAAGATGGCTCACCTGAGGTCACTGTGGCTCACCTGGAGGCCTCGGTAATGGCCCAGGAGGCCAAGGTGGCTCACCTGGGAGGTGACGGCGGAGGCTGGGATGGGCAGGTGCTCGGAGGTGTTGTTGAAGGTCCAGCGGAAGGTGACGGGTCCCGGGCTGGCCTCCACCTCACACGTGACGCTGGCTGGCTCGTGCAGCGCCGTGCCGTAGATGGTCTTGCTGTGACGCCGGCAGTACGGCTTGTCTGTGGGTACAGCACGGTACAGTTACTGTGTGGCGCCTGCAGTACGGCTTGTCTGTGGGTACAGCACGGTACAGTTACTGTGTGACGCCGGCAGTACGGCTTGTCTGTGGGTACAGCACGGTACAGTTACTGTGTGACGGCGGCAGTACGACTTGTCTGTGGGTACAGCACGGTACAGTTACTGTATGACCCCGGCAGTACGGCTTGTCTGAGGGTACAGCACGGTACAGTTACTGTGTGACGCCGAGTGCCGGTACCATAGTGATGTAGAGTACCATAGTAGAAGGGGCTACCACGGTGAAAGGAAAGCACCATGGTGGAAGAGAAGTATTGTGTGGTATATAAAACATTCCTAATATATCCCTCGAATATTATAACGAAAGTCAGATATAGACCCAGTTGAATTCAGACGAATATATCGCAGTATAATTTGTCAAATTATAGATACCCAGACTGGGATCTCAATGGCATCAAATTCATTTAATCAAGCGAGGTAGACTTCCTATGACAAAATAAAAAGTTTGTATCAGTGATGTTTACAGCCCTGGTTATATATATATATATATATATATATATATATATATATATATATATATATATATATATGCTGTTAATAGGCCAAGTATCAGTTGGTTTTATTTCTATACCAGAGTACCTGTAGCTTCAATTGATGCCCGACTGACTCTGAGGACTGATACTTAGCTATATACTAGAGGCTGTAGGTGCTTGTGGCTGAACGAAGTGATCATTTATTAATAGGTGAATGCCCTCCATTTTTATAACATAAATATACATGTAAATTCTGTGGCAGTCGGAGGCCAGAGAGAAGTTAGAACATTATATATGTTCAGATGCTGTTGTGTAGCGTTGTTATATAGAGTGTAGCATGTGTAATAGTTAACCACACTCGTGCTGTGGGCGTGCATTGGTCGGCTGCATTCGTGCTGTGTTCGTGTGTACGAAATGACCATTATCCCATCAAATTATAGCCTGGCTTCTAGGATGTTTTTTTCCCTTGACACAAGACTGGAATATTTACAGAAGCTCGCGCATTAATGACGTGTATAAATATATCAATATATTTACGATTAGCGTCTCTAAAACCACATACAAATGCAAGCATTAACACCGAACACAAATAGTGCCGCTGATCACGAATGCAAACTGGCCAGGGGTTGCAATACCATATTTACGTTTTTGAGGACAACGTCTGACTAGCTTCACAAAGCAACTCACACCACTGAGACGAGGAAGCAGACAAAGCCAGTCCATAAAACAAACGCAACCCATCACACGACACGACAATTCTGCTTAACTTGTAAACAACTTGTGATATCCACATGAAAGTTCGTCCCAGTAAACTCGGGGAAAACAACTGGAAGAAATTTCTCAACAAATTCAATACATCTTCGAGTAAAACATAGAGTTCTGAGGTCTAACCCTGGCACGGAGTGTACTCGACTAGTTGTGCTTGCGGGGGTTGAGCTCTGGCTCTTTGGTCCCGCCTCTCAACTGTCAATCAACTGATGTACAGATTCCTGAGCCTATTGGGCTCTATCATATCTACATTTGAAACTGTGTATGGAGTCAGCCTCCACCACATCACTGCCTAATGCATTCCAACTGTTAACTACTCTGACACTGAAAAAGTTCTTTCTAACGTCCCTGTGGGTCATTTGGGTGCTCAGTTTCCACCTGTGTCCCCCTTGTTCGCGTACCCCCCCCCCTGTTAAACAGTTTATCCTTATCTAATCTGTCAATTCCTCTGAGAATTTTGTAGGTAGTGATCATGTCTACCCCTAACTCTTCTGCCTATAGTTTCGTGAGGTTTAGTTCCAGTAATCTTTCCTTCCTCATTCCTCTCAGCTCGAGGACTAGCCTGGTGGCATACCTCTGAACCTTTTCTAACTTCGTTTTGTGTTGGACTAGATGAAGACTCCAGGCTGGAGCCGCATATTCCAATATTGGTCTGACATATGTGGCATACAAGGTTCTGAATGATTTCTTACACACGTCTCTGAAGGAGGTTGACCAAGTTTGGAGTATTAACTCACACATGACTCTGAGGTTGACCAAGCTTGAAGTATTAACTCACACATGACTCTGAGGTTGACCAAGCTTGGAGTATTAACTCACACATGACTCTGAGGTTGACCAAGTTTGGAGTATTAACTCACACATGACTCTGAGGTTGACCAAGTTTGGAGTATTAACTCACACATGACTCTGAGGTTGACGGGTTGACTCTCTCCCTCGCCCTCCAGGTTGACGGCGGCACAAGTGTAGAGTCCGGCGGCCTCCCTCGTGATCTTCTGCAACACCAGCGTCTGGTTCTGTAGGATGATGCCCTTAGTGACGCGGTGCTCCACGGGGGACCCCTGGGGGAGAGACAGGCTAGTGAGGACCCCTGAGGGAGAGACAGGCTGGTGAGGACCCCTGGGGGAGAGACAGGCTAGTGAGGACCCCTGGGGGAGAGACAGGCTAGTGAGGACCCCTGGGGGAGAGACAGGCTGGTGAGGACCCCTGGGGGAGAGACAGGCTAGTGAGGACCCCTGGGGGAGAGACAGGCTAGTGAGGACCCCTGGGGGAGAGACAGGCTAGTGAGTACCCCTGAGGGAGAGACAGGCTGGTGAGGACCCCTGAGGAGAGACAGGCTAGTGAGGACCCCTGGGGGAGAGACAGGCTGGCGAGGACCCCTGGGGAGAGACAGGCTAGTGAGGACCCCTGGGGGAGAGACAGGCTGGTGAGGACCCCTGGGGGAGAGACAGGCAGGTGAGGACCCCTGGGGGAGAGACAGGATAGTGAGGACCCCTGGGGGAGAGACAGGCTGGTGAGGACCCCTGGGGAGAGACAGGCTTGTGAGGACCCCTGGGGGAGAGACAGACTAGTGAGGACCCCTGGGGGAGAGACAGGCTGGTGAGGACCCCTGGGGTAGAGACAGGCTGGTGAGGACCCCTGAGGGAGAGACAGGCTGGTGAGGACCCCTAGGGGAGAGACAGGATAGTGAGGACCCCTGGGGGAGAGGCTGGTGAGGACCCCTGGGGAAGAGACAGGCTAGTGAGGACCCCTGGGGGAGAGACAGGCTAGTGAGGACCCCTGGGGGAGAGACAGGCTAGTGAGGACCCCTGGGGGAGAGACAGGCTGGTGAGGACCCCTGGGGAGAGGCAGGCTGGTGAGGACCCCTGGGGGAGAGACAGGCTAGTAAGGACCCCTGGGGGAGAGACAGGCTGGTGAGGACCCCTGGGGGGAGAGACAGGCCGGTGAAGACCCCTGGGGGAGAGACAGGCTGGTGAAGACCCCTGGGGGAGAGACAGGCTAGTGAGGACCCCTGGGGGAGAGACAGGCTAGTGAGGACCCCTGAGTGTGAGACAGGCTAGTGAGGACCCCTGGGGGAGAGACAGGCTAGTGAGGACCCCTGAGTGTGAGACAGGCTAGTGAGGACCCCTGAGGGAGAGACAGGCTAGTGAGGACCCCTTAGTGTGAGACAGGCTAGTGAGGACCCCTGGGGGAGAGACAGGCTAGTGAGGACCCCTGGGGGAGAGACAGGCTAGTGATTAGAGTCATTGGTGACCAGTCTTAAAATTCCCACAGCAACAACATGTTAATGAACTCTCCGTGACGGCATGGTGGTCTATGGTGGCTCCTGGAGGCCATAGGTCGAATTTTCCCAATCAGTATTATTATTATTACTATCATTATTGTTGGTACATCTTGTTAATGGGATTTATTTGTGCAATGAGAAAATCAATAGGAGCCATCATGAGGATTCGAACCTGTACACGGTGTATGTATATATGTATATCTCTATTTTCATTCAGTTGATAATGTGTTTTCTCCTTCAGTACATTCTCGTTCTATCTATCATCTTTTGCTTTTCTCTTGCCCTCGTTTGATTACTTTGACAGTTTCTTCTGATCTTTCTCATCCTCCTCATTCTCACTTAGTTTTCATTACTCTCTTCATTTCACTAATTGCATCGATTTCAAAACATTATATTATCTGCTAATTATTGATTTCTCTTGCACTTTTGTCTTTCCAAGTCTTTGGGCTTCTGTACATTTTCTTTTCTTATTATTTTACATTTTGGTTTCTCCACTTTCACGTCTCGTACGGGTTTATGTCCTGCGGTCACTCTTGTCCCTATAGGGGGGCCGGTCGGCCGAGCGGATAGCACGCTGGACTTGTGATCCTGTGGTCCTGGGTTCGATACCAGGCGCCGGCGAGAAACATTGGGCAGAGTTTCTTTCACCCTATGCCCCTGTTACCTAGCAGTAAAATAGGTACCTGGGTGTTAGCCAGCTGTCACGGGCTGCTTCCTGGGGGTGGAGGCCTGGTCGAGGACCGGGCCGCGGGGACACTAAAGCCCCGAAATCATCTCAAGATAACCTCAAGATAGGTCACTTTCTACCTATCTCTACCCATCTCAGCTCATCTTTCTACCTACACCTCACCATCTCAGCGCATTTATTTCTACCTACACCTACCCATCTCAGCTCATTTTTCTACCTACCCCTGCCCATTTCAGCTCTTGTTACCTACCTACCTTTATTCATCTCAGCACCTACACCTAGCTACGTACTTACGTACCCCAGCTCTTCCTCTAGATTGGTACCTCAGTTGTAGCTCATTAATACAGTACGGAAAAGTGGCAGGTCCGTTGCAGGTTTAATTCCTTGACCATTAATTTGTCTTAACCATCCATGTCTTAGTTTCCCCTTTCATCTCTTCTACCATCCAATAGCTCTCTCCCATTCCTGGCTCTCTCCCCTCTCTTTTCCTTCCTGGTATACTCCTCTCCCCCTTCCCTTCTTGGTTCATTCCCTCTCCCTCCTATCTTACCTTCCTACTTGCAGGCGATGAGTCACAATAACGTGGTTGAAGTATATTGACCAGACCACACATTAGAAGGTGAAGAGACGACGACGTTTCGGTCCGTCCTGGACCATTCTCAAGTCGATTGCGAATGCACATTCTTGAGAATGGTCCAGGACGAACCGAAACGTCGTCGTCCCTTCACCTTCTAATGTGTGGTCTGGTCAACATACCTTTCCTACTTCTGTCCCCCCTCATCTCATGGTTCTCTCTCCCCTCCCCTCATCAATCAGCTTCCCCCTACACACTGCTGGGACTCACGTTATGGAACCAGGTGACCCGGTGAACCACGGGGTTGGCGTTGATGTGGCACTCAAAATAGACGTCGTCAGCTTCCTTGATGTTGTCAGGGTTGAGATTGCTGCCCATCTGTAGCGTCACCACCGGCTTGTCTGGCCAGGGGAAACACGGCAACCATATTTGTATTAATAATTTAATATATACAATAAAGTAACAAGAAAATAAACAATAATATCAAACCTAGAGAAGAGTAATACTGCATCAAATATATTAATAGTAATTAACAATTAAAATGTGTTATTATAATTACATTTATAATATATAAAGTGACGAGCGTCGACGTGCGCAAGACGTGCGTCTTCTGTATTAAATTGTTTTCCCGGGAAACGGATCGAAGGGTAACCAACGTTAATAAGACTAAAATTACGTATATTGGCCTCGTTAAAAGGGAAAGAATTCGCTTATTGAACCCACTGAAGAGAGAGCGCGCCTCCACTCTCTGTATCCCGGGTTTACGTGAAGCCACTGGAAAAAGAGCTTTACGTGGTCCTACAGGAAGAAAGGTTCACAGGGTCCCACGGGAGGAGTGCATCTCTACTCCGCGTATCCAAGATAATGTGTGATTTAGGCTATATTATATATATATATATATATATATATATATATATATATATATATATATATATATATATATATATATATATATATATATATATATATATATATATATATATAGGTATGCCGGTACTAGGGAAGCATACTTATGACCTCTTCTTCTTCTTCTTCCTACCATATCCAAATAACAAGATGATCTAGCCTTCTTTAGAGATTTCCTTCGTGGTCCTGCCTGTGACGTTCCTTGTTACTAGTACGTTGCTTAATTTTTAACAACGTAACCACGACCTTTAAACAGTTGTGCGCTTGCTGAGAGGTGCGTGTGTGTGTGTGTGTGTGTGTGTGTGTGTGTGTGTGTGTGTGTGTGTGTGTGTGTGTGTGTGTGTGCGTGTGTGTGTGTGTGTGTGTGTGTGTGTGTGTGCGTGTGTGTGTGTGTGTGTGTGTGTGTGTGTGTGTGTGTGTGTGTGTGTGTGTGTGTGTGTGTGTGTGTGTGTGTGTGTGTGTGTGTGTGCGTGTGTGTGTGTGTGTGTGTGTGTGTGTGTGTGTGTGTGTGTGTGTGTGTGTGTGTGTGTGTGTGTGTGTGTGGTTTCGAGAGAGGGGCTTCACTACTCTCTTCCAGTATCACAGGGACAACGTTCACGATCTCAACTGCATCATCGGCTGATTTATTCACTGTTTTTTTTCCCCTCTTGCGCTCATCACCTTCCACCGGTCCAGGAGGGTCTCTTCTACCTTATTTCTGGGAGATCCTTCAGCACACGCTCGCAGACACTGGCCATCAGCTGTCAGTGTGTCGATATCATTCTTCATCAAAAGACACAAGTTTAAACAGAGTCTTTGAAGCAGTCATCTCCATGTTACAACTCCATGTCCAACACGTCCGCCCTTGACCAAAGTTTATCCAACCTTGACTGCATGCATGGAGCTCACCTCAACTACTTCCCTCTCTATGTACAATGATATCACACTAACGTGATGTATCGTTGAGAAAATCAGTAAGAGCCGTGAGGAAGAGTCAAACCCGCTCACTCGCTACTCCCAATCTAGCGCCCTCGACCACTACACCACGACACAGTCAAAAGCAAAGCAACCTGAGATTCGACTAGGAGTCCTGAGGAGCCCAACCGCAGCATTGCCACACACTGCTCCCCCGTGCCCTCTGGCTCTGTGATCAAGTAGTTCGCCTCCAACGCTTCTCGTCAAATGCACCAACCTTTTCTTACTTTCCTTTCTAGCTTGTTCACTAGCCTTACGGTGAAGTTTTCTCTAATAACTCTGGATCATTTGGGTATTAAGTTTCTATTTTCGTCCCATCGTCTTGGGTTTCCCCCCATGCCAGAGCACTTATCTGTCCATGTCAATGAGAATCTTGCTTACCGTGACAATTTCTTCTCTCCACAGACTTGAGATTCAGTGCTATAGTCAACTTTCAGAGCTCATTTCTTCCAGCTTTCCCTCTATCTGATCAGTTTTCCTTTTACTCCTTTCTTTCTCTCAATCTCTCTGATTGTATTCCCGTATGTGTGTGCTCATATCAGTCCCTAATATGGAACATCAACTTACAATTCGGTTGTACTGTTACCTTAAAGCTCTAGGGATCGTGAGTTCCTAGTATATCGAGACTCATCAAGTATCTGACGAAGTTCTTCAGAGATTCAGGAGAGATGACCCAATAAGCTTCAAGAGGACTCTTGAGTGTGCTTCAGGCTTGATTCAGAAGGGAATCTCTTTGACCCAACACAAGCTTTCGATGGTTCGACTCGGCATTAATAGAATGGGTACTATATTCATTTAAATAAAACTTATGAGTTTTTTATATCCTTACGTGCAAATCTAATGCTTTTTAATCATTTACACGTCTGTGTGGCTTTGGTGCATATTTGGAACAACAGTTATTTAAATAAACAATAAAATAAGTTCTGAGACTGCGAACAAAATAGCAACGGTGAAGAACGCAAAGTTATACTGAACAAAGCCACGGTGATAGTTAACACTGCCAGTGTGACGATGAATAAAGCCACAGTTAAGGTGAACAGGTTGACATTCACGGTGAACAAGGCCAGATCGGTGAAGAACAAAGCCAACCAAAGTCACATATACCGTTAACAAGGCCAATGACGATGCACAAAGCAACAGTGACGGTGAACACAGCCACATATACAGTGAACAAAGCCACTGGGGCTGGTCACACTAGCACCTGTAATTGTATTATGACTTTTAGACAAATTGGATTCAACAAAAGTAAGCAACTTTAAACTGGAATACAGTGTAGACATTGGTAGGCTACAGTAGTCCTGCCTGGTAAACTACGTGGGCTACAGTAGTCCTGCCTGGTTAACGACGTGGGCTACAGTAGTCCTGCCTGGTTAACGACGTGGGCTACAGTAGTCCTGCCTGGTTAACGACGTGGGCTACAGTAGTCCTGCCTGGTTAACGACGTGGGCTACAGTAGTCCTGCCTGGTTAACGACGTGGGCTACAGTAGTCCTGCCTGGTTAACGACGTGGGCTACAGTAGTCCTGCCTGGTTAACTACATGGGCTACAGTAGTCCTGCCTGGTTAACTACATGGGCTACAGTAGTCCTGCCTGGTTAACTACATGGGCTACAGTAGTCCTGCCTGGTTAACTACATGGGCTACAGTAGTCCTGCCTGGTTAACTACGTGAGCTACAGTAGTCCTGCCTGGTTAACTACATGGGCTACAGTAGTCCTGCCTGGTTAACTACATGGGCTACAGTAGTCCTGCCTGGTTAACTACATGGGCTACAGTAGTCCTGCCTGGTTAACTACATGGGCTACAGTAGTCCTGCCTGGTTAACTACGTGGGCTACAGTAGTCCTGCCTGGTTAACGACATGGGCTACAGTAGTCCTGCCTGGTTAACTACATGGGCTACAGTAGTCCTGCCTGGTTAACTACATGGGCTACAGTAGTCCTGCCTGGTTAACTACATGGGCTACAGTAGTCCTGCCTGGTTAACTACATGGGCTACAGTAGTCCTGCCTGGTTAACTACGTGAGCTACAGTAGTCCTGCCTGGTTAACTACATGGGCTACAGTAGTCCTGCCTGGTTAACTACATGGGCTACAGTAGTCCTGCCTGGTTAACTACATGGGCTACAGTAGTCCTGCCTGGTTAACTACATGGGCTACAGTAGTCCTGCCTGGTTAACTACGTGAGCTACAGTAGTCCTGCCTGGTTAACTACATGGGCTACAGTAGTCCTGCCTGGTTAACTACGTGAGCTACAGTAGTCCTGCCTGGTTAACTACATGGGCTACAGTAGTCCTGCCTGGTTAACTACGTGGGCTACAGTAGTCCTGCCTGGTTAACGACGTGAGCTACAGTAGTCCTGCCTGGTTAACTACATGGGCTACAGTAGTCCTGTCTGGTTAACTACATGGGCTACAGTAGTCCTGCCTGGTTAACGACGTGAGCTACAGTAGTCCTGCCTGGTTAACTACATGGGCTACAGTAGTCCTGCCTGGTTAACTACATGGGCTACAGTAGTCCTGCCTGGTTAACTACGTGAGCTACAGTAGTCCTGCCTGGTTAACTACATGGGCTACAGTAGTCCTGCCTGGTTAACTACGTGAGCTACAGTAGTCCTGCCTGGTTAACTACATGGGCTACAGTAGTCCTGCCTGGTTAACTACGTGAGCTACAGTAGTCCTGCCTGGTTAACTACATGGGCTACAGTAGTCCTGCCTGGTTAACTACGTGAGCTACAGTAGTCCTGCCTGGTTAACTACATGGGCTACAGTAGTCCTGCCTGGTTAACTACGTGAGCTACAGTACACAGGTACTATAGTAGTTTAATACTGCTGTTTACCCAAGGAAGGTGGGAAACAGCATTATGATGATGATTATTAGTGTTAATCAGTATTTAATTAAAAAAATACGCACTAGAAATAGCTCAGTTAAGCCTAAATTATATTCCAGGTTCACTTTAGAAAACGATGTAGGATAAGCGGATGCGGATCATAAATGCGGATAAAGTAAGTAATTATGCAAAGAAGGCACCAAACCGGGAAGGCTATGTAGCACCATCAAATGTGCGGGATGATCAGAGGGCGGTAAATATCACCAAGGATGCCAAAACGAGAACAGAAACACATAAGGCGAACTATATCAAAAGTATTCGAGTCACCAAGAATACTATCCAGGGACAAGCGACCGCGGGGGACGGTCGGAAAACAAGACACACGCTCGTCCTGGAAATCAGGACATTCAACAAGGATATGCACGACCGTAAGAGGTACAATGCAATTAGGACAATAAGGAGCAGGGCGGCGCTCCATCACGTGACCATGACTTAAGCGAGTATGGCCAATATGCAACCTCGCCAAAGCCGTTTCCCATCGCCGGTTACGGTGGTAGGAGGACGGCCATGAGAGGACACACAATTCTTAAGAGTACGCAGTTTGTTACCAGTAGCAGACGACCAACAAGCCTGCCAGCGGGTAAGGATGGAGGAATGGATAACCGGGTAAAAGTCGGAATAAGGAATACCTTTACGGGAGATGGAACAAGAGCGGA